CAGGGCATGGCTGATGCGCCCTCTGCCTGCGCTTATGTGAGAGAAAGGGCCGAGGGAGGGCGCGTGCCGGGCCGTGCTGCCCTCCCCTTCGCTTTCCCTCGGAAGCACGCTCCCTCGAGCTCCCTGCGCCCTTGCCTCCTCCCTGGCGCCCCACCTTCCACCCACTCCTGTCTCTTCCATCCCTTCCCCCTCCCGCGGCCCGCGGCCGGAGCAGCAAGTTCAGTCCCGGGGCTGGCGGTCCACGGTCCCAGCTTTGAGAAGACGTGACCACGCTGGGCAAGAGTGGCAGGGGGCGAAAGTAGGATTACTGGGGAGGAGGGAGCCACCCTTTGTCTTCCGCAGCCCCGGGCTCCTGTCCGACTCCCGCACGCCTGGCGCTCAACGCCTCGCTCAAGATTTGGAAAACGCCCGGGAGTGCTAAACGGTCCAAGACCAAGTCATCATAATGGCGGAGACCCCGCCGGGACCTTAGAATCAGCTGCGGCTGATTAACTTAATGTTGGTCTGTTAACTTAATGTTGCCGGGTGAAGCAAGAACTACAGAAGTCCTCAGAGTGCATTGCGGGCTATTGGGATGAATGCTAATGATCCCTTGAGGATCTCAAACTTCTGGCAGATGGAGAAGAATAGGCAGAATCTTCATGGACAGTAAAAAGACACAGTGTCAGTAGTGTCAGTGTCTGCAAGAAGTTGGGTTTAAAAGAGAAAGTAGCTGATAAAGAGAGACATGTGTTCAACATATTGTAGGAAGTGACATCTGCAGAAAAGTGACTGCATTTCCCCATGGGAAAATCACCCAGGAGTTGTGCTGGTGTTGATTGACCTGGCGTGGTCTCCCTCCTGGGCGCAGAGTGAACAGGTTGCAGACCACCAGGCTTGCGAGGCGTGGGGGGTGATTTCCAACAGTGTACAGATATGAAAAGTCTCCCCTAGACTCCTGAGTTACTTTCAGACACGCAGATCATAAAATCTTAGATGGAGAGAGATTATCTGATTCAACTCTACAAGTTCTGAACTCCCTTCACCAACCATTTGTTTAAATATTTTCAGAGACAGGGAGCTCTCTGCTCCTGTGGCTTCCCATTCTCTTTTTGATGGCCAGAGTTACTGAATTTCCTTCCATTGCTTTTGACTTCTGGACTTCACACAAGCAATCTAACTTCCATGTGTGAGTTCTTCAAATATTTTGAAAATATCTGTTATGTTCTCCCTATGCTTACTTTCCTCCCAGAGAAATATTCTTTTTTAAATGACAGCTCCAAATTCCCTCATCAACCATAATCTAATTTTTCCATGTTCTTCATTTAGCATACTACTCACAACATGACTCAGTACTTAAAGTGTTCCAACAAGCATGAAGAAAGGGTCTTCCTTGTCCAGACATTCTGCATTTGTTGAAGCGGCCTCAGATCAAGTTTATTTTCTGGCAGCCAAATCACAGTGTTGACTCACATTACACTTAAATTCAACTAAATTCCTCAAGAACTTTTCATGTGCACTGCTGTTTAGTCACATTTACATTACCCTACATTTGTGAACTTGGTTTAGTGTGCCCAAGATTTGAGCTTGACATTTATCTTTATTAAATCTATCCTCTCAGAGTCAGTCCATAATCACAGCTTGTTGAAATGTTTTGGGTTGCCGATGCCGTCAGTGTATTACTCCTCCTGCTGTCTAACTGATATATGCATATTTGATCAGTTTGCCATATTTGTCTTCAGATACTGTGAAAAGCTGTTAAAAGGGAAGAGCTAAGGACAGACTGGGATAAGATTTAAGTAGAAGCTGGAGCTTCTTTTTAACTATTTCTTGTTTCAGTGTTTCTCAACTTTGATTTCATTTGGAATACCAAAAGGAGATTTCAAGGGATTAAGAAGTACAAATTGGAAGTTTCAAAATAGTCATAGGGATATAAAGTACAGCATAGACAATATAGTCAATAATATTGTAATAACTATGTATGGTGCCATGTGGGTACTAGACTTATGGGGGCGGGAGGATCACTTAGTAAATTTTATAAATGTCTAACCACTATGCTATACACCTGACACTACTAATATAATATTGAATGTCAACTGTAATTACACACACACATACACAAACACACATGCCTTAGTGCACCATCAGAGATTCTAGTTTAATTGGTTTGAGGTAAGATACGGACGTCGGGATCCTTTGGGGCCTAGCATAGTGTAAAGACTGCAAAATCATTAGGATCAAAATATATAAAAAATATATCATGTTAATTGTGTTATTTTATTTGAAATACAGTAGTAAGCACATATAGACTTTTTTCTTCCTCTCTCAAAAATGTTATCTTTCTACTGCTGTTATTTAAAATGAAGAAATGCTGGCAAAAAGTGAACATGACTTAGTTAAAAGGTAGACCACTTATGTCAATGTGATTTAGTTGTTCCTTCTAGGAAACTTTACCCTAGGAAAGATAAATTAAAAACTAGTAATTAAATCTACTGTTTGCCTCAGGAAATGCCCACAAATCAATATATTGAAAACAATGCTCTCGCTCTGGCAAAAAGCCTGCTTCTCAATAACAGCTTACCTATCAAGACCCTCAATTACCTGTATCAACCAGTCTTAAACTCCTAGACCATGAACTTTACCCAATCTTACCAATCCCCCACTTTGAAAGACTTCTGATTTAATACCCCTGAGACACTGCTGTAACTCTCCAAATGGTGTTCTCCCTTATTGCAGTGAGTGCTACTAAATGAAACTTTTGTTTTTTAAAAGGTTTTTTGGTGATATTTTGGGGATTCAATGACCTGCCAGTCCCAACTGCTGTTAACCAACTGCTATCTCTCCTGCTGCCGAAGCCAGGACCCTCAGTTCAGAAACAGGAGGAACCACTAAGGCCTACAGTAATGGGGTAAGTCTTATATTAGATCTCAGTTCCAATTTCTTTTTATCAAGCTACCAAATGCTAAGTGTATTTTGTCCCCGAAGATTTCCTTTTAGGGATCTTCGGATTACTTGATCAGATTTGAAAATAAATATGCCTGGTAGAAAGCTGCCTTGTTACTAGCAACATTGCTTTTTGTCACTATTTTTTTTTTTATTTTCTATTGGTAGTTGATAGCAGGAAGCTCATGTACAACCCTTACATTTTCCAAGAACTTCAGATTTTTCAGATTTGCCATTGGAGACTGCCTAGCCATTAGGTTGGGGAGCCCAAGGACATAAGGTGAATAAACCACTGATTTGACTGTCATCTGACTTTCATGTGTTTCTCTCAGACTAAACCCAAATGTGTGTCTCCTGCAAGCTAGATCCCTGCCTCTTACATTTATTTACACACTAATGCATGTGAATCTCTTTCTAAATGATGTAATTTTACCAACGATAGTTTGGAATTTCAGTGGCCATTTTTGGAAACTTTTCATAAGAACAGAATTGTTCATTGGAGACGTGTCTTAGAATGGAAAAAGAGTAAAATTGTGAACATTCAATGATCTGTGTTTTTTTAAATAATTTTTTTTATTTTGTAATTATAGTTGGCACACAATATTATATTAGTTTCAGATATACTACATAGTAATTAGACATTTATATAACTTACATATGATCATTCTGATAAATCTAGTACCCATCTGACACCATACAGAATTAATACAATATTATTGGCTATATTCCTTACGCTATAGTTTACATCCCCATGACTATTTTGTAACTACCAATTTGTACTTTTTAATCCCTTCCCTCATTTCAGCCAACCCCCTCCCATCTGGCAACCATCAAATTGTTCTCTATATCTATGAGTTTGTTTCTGTTATATTTGTTAATTTTGTTTTTTAGTTTACACATGTAAGTGAAATCATATGGCATTTGTTTTTCTCTGACTTACTCCACTAAGTGCAATAACCTCTAGGTCCACTTATGCTGCAGCAGATGGCAAGGTTTCATTCTTTTTTAATAGCTGAGTTATATTCCATTGTATATATGTACCACATCTTCTTTATCCATTCATCCATTGATAGACAGCCAGGTTGCCTCCATATCTTATCTATTGTAAATAACTCTGCAATGAACATATGGATTCAGATGTCCCTTCAAAGTAGTGTTTTGGGTATCTTTGGATAAATACCCTGAAGTGAGATAACTGGATCCTTCTTTGTCTCTTGTTATAGCCTTTGTTTTAAAGTCTGTTTTGTCTTGTAAAGTATTGCTACCCCAGCTTTTTGTTTGTTTTCACTTTCATGAAATATCTTTTTCCATTTCTTTACTATCAGTGTGTGTGCGTCTTTTGATTGGAAGTCAGTCTCATGTAGGCAGGGTCTTGTTTTCTGTCCATTCAGCCACCCTATCTTTCGATTGGAGCATTTAATCCATTTACATTTAAAGTAATTGCTGATAAATATATAGTTATTACCATTTTCTTATTTACATATTTGATCTTTTTTCCCTTTTTAATTCTTAAGGGAGTTTCTCCAAC